TTTCTTTCGCTTTTTCCTTCCATTTAATCATTTAACTGCAAACAAGCTGCCACTTGAAACTGTCGTAAGCTTCAAAACCTTCAGCATTTTTTACCCTTAAATGCTGGCAAAATCAGTTTTCCCATAGAAACAATTAAACTGATTCGTTTTTAAGCGCTCATCGTCGCCCACGTCACTTTTTGTTCATCTTTACTTTCTTTTTTCTTTTTTTTTTTTTTTCTCCTTTCCTTCGCTTTAAAAACTAGCAAAAGCATACGCAAATATACTAGAAGAAATGTCGTTTTTCCTCTTCAGATCCTTGTTTCGTCAGAAGATGAAGCCTCTCTGCGCCCCGCTAAGTACGTCTTCTGCAAGCCGCGACTAGACATCCGATGACGTTCATACCAAATTGCTGAGGTTTTTGCAACTTGGAGGGAATGAGAGATAGGATATACAGCTTGAGAGGATCAATATTTAACTAGAAAATTTTCTTCACTTTTAGCTTTTCCAGTTTGGTAATGCTTTGCTGCTAGCCCTATAGATGACAAGTTTTTTGATCTATATTTAATCTATACTGTTTGGTACATCTGTTTCAGTTTGAACTCAGAAAATCACTTTCAGCTTTAGAGGTGTCCTTTCAACAAGCCATACAAAAATAAATTATGTCAATTTTTCTTTTTTGATACGTCATAACTAATGCTTTAAATTTTCTAAAGAAAATCATCAATTCAAAACATCTTACAAGTGTCCTGAACCAGAATGATAGAAGTCCTCAGTTTCAAAATTCTTGGATATTAATTAACCTGAGAATATTTATTTTCATTTACTGCAGTAGAAAAAACGTTTAAAAAAATAAACTAAAGTATTTTACTAAACAAAAAATTTTTGCAATTTATCTGGAGAAAAGAGAGGGGGAAAAAAGATGAAAAAATGATTTCAAAAATAGCAAAAATCTACTTCTCTTCTCAAACAATGTTTTCTTCTCGGTAAAGTTTCGTTATCAAAGAACAAAAAAAAAAAAAAAAAAAACTTATGAAGACAAAATCTACTGTACGTTTTTGGATAACTGCAAATGAATCAGCGTGGACAAGACTCAATCTCCAGATCCAGCAAGAACAAAACTTCACAACAGTTGATTTATACGTTTTCTACACAAGATTTTCTGGTACAAAAAATAAAAATAAAAATAGACTATAGTAGCAGAAAATTTGAAATGAAGTAAAAATTTTCTGTTATTTAATATTTCTCAACTATAATACAAAAGTCTGTTTCTCTACGGTTATCTTACAGATGTCCGGATGACTGAAAAGTTAGCATGCAAAAAAGGAAGAGTTTCAGAAGTTGTCTTTCCCCACTCTTCAAAAGCCATCCATTATAGAGAACACCAATTTCGATCTCTCCTAAACTTTTATACTGATGATGAAAGTGGAAACTACAATCAGTTAAAAAATTTTTACTATTGTTATTTTTGTACAATTATATAATTCGCAAACCACAACAGTGACTGCTTCAAATCATTTCTCAGTATTATGTGTAAATAAAAAAAATCTTTTTTTTTTTTTT